TATTTATATATAATATATATATATATAATATATATAATATCTTATCTGTTGTATATCGTATGTAAAGTTCCATACATCTTATTCATTTAAACAATATATTATGAATCTGACGTAACACGAAGAGTAACAAACACAGTCTACAATATGACTCGAACTGTAATACGATCAAATCTTGAACATTATTTACAACGCCGTGCCACGAAGAAGATTTCCTTTCATTTTCTCGTTTTCCCTCGATCAACAGGTTTTTACCTACACATCTTTGGTTTTTAAATCGTGTCCACGTTAGCCACGACGAACTAAAATTTCGTTACGAGTACAAATAACACTCTAAACAGCGTGTACAATGTATCTTCGTATGTCGTGTGTGTATGTGTGTTAGTGTATTTACGTGTTACTATTTGTACGTGTGTGTTACAGAGTTACAAACAGGACTTTCTCGCGCGCGAACGACGAACATTGACTTGCTTCACGTTCGACGCTTGGCTTTGTCGCATTTTGTGAAACAACATTTAACGTGGGCACACCGTGTCTGTCGATAAGTATCTTAGGCGTAGCACAAGACGATAGGTCGGAACGGCGGACCCTTAACACCTGTTCGCCAGTCGTTTGGGACTTCGTTTAGGCGGCCACCTAAAATCATACAATTTGCCATAAATACAGCCCTTCTCTCAATAAAATATAATATTTCACTACTATATTTTCAATATTTCAATGAAATATAATATTTTATTACATTTTATACTATTACATAGTATTTATTTTACACATTTTTATTATATTTTACACAATTTTCTCCAATTTTTGTTAGGTTCACTAGGTTTCTAGTTGGGTTGGAAATCGTTGGATATTTTAATCGTCAAGATCGAGAGAATCTCTCAAACTCATATGAAGTGAAATAATTTTAATATCGTTCTGTTATACATAAACACGTTGTTAATTTCGATAGAAAATTGTAATATTTCACGTAGAGTGTAATTTTTTAAAGAAAAAATATGTGAAACAGTAGCACTGGGTTAAAAATCTCTCTAGGACTTCACCGTTAGAGACTCAGGATTTCTAGGGTCCAGATAAAATGCTGATAAAAATGTGTTCGTTAAATTAAATTTGAAAAAAGAAAAAGGAAAAACAGGATTTTCTACTCGTGAAAGCAGAAATCGTGGAAGAGATTGTTTAGCATTTAAATGATAGTTCATTTAAAAATTTATTTTCAGGGGAGAGAAAGTTTTCGTTACTTTATAAATATGTAGATTAGTTTTTCTAATTAATTATTTTGCTGCGAGGTTCTTTGAAAATGCTGTTCAGAGAGTTGCTAGAGCTCGCGTAACGTTTAATGCTTGTCAAATTGGAGCGACGAAGTTGCTGGATCGTTAGGAAAAATGCAAAAGATTTTATGAAAATTACTTTGGCTAGGTGGATCTAGCTTTGAAAAAGTTGCAACTCTTTGATGTTTTATTCAAGAGACGTAAACCAATCTGACGTAAAACGCGTCAAAATTGCATGAAAAGGAAGTTGTGTCTAAAAGGATTCGGCTTAGAGGATCAAAACGAAATACGATAACAATTTACTCACCTAATGATCAAACGGTTAATTGAACATGTTGATCAATACCAGATGCATCACGACTAGCAGGATATTACTTGGCAATTGACCAGCGAAATTTCCTGCAATCAAACCATGTGTCGCATCAGAAGAAAGAACAAGTGCTCATAATTTAACGTAAACATCAGCTCGAAACATATTCTCAATGCGTTCCGCTAATTACTAGGAATCTTGGTGGTCATAGATGCCAGTGCAGTTGCATAAAATGCACGAATATTTAATAAAACACAAATATAAAATCATCCAAATTAACTCGTAGATCACAATAACTACCACGAATAACATTTATTTCATTTTCATACAATTTCATTCAGGGAACGCAATTTGTTTTTCAACCCCTTTGAACAAGGAATTCATCTCTTACTCCATAAAGAGCATTCATATTTCTTTTCCTTTTCTGCTCATTATCATCGCAATCGATAATGTTAGGCTGTCTTAAACGAAGCGATCTATTACGCGTTAAAGCGTACAATCTGTCAAAATTTGAATTGACACCAGGTAGCGTTTATTGAGCCTGCAATCGACAGGATCGACGTTTCATCGCGTACTTATCATGAAATAACAGGTTTTTAATCGTGATTAATGCATACCAGAATCTGCAAGACGATGCGAATAAATCAGGCATGGTAAAATTTAAATTAAATAGAAAAATCAAGAAGTTAGACAATGCACCCCTAGAAGCAACAATGATTAATGCTACGGATTTTTCCTTTCACGCACGATATGGAAATTATCAGGCTTCCAAACACTTGGATCATTCGCCGATCAAAAGAAACAAATTGGCAGTAGTAAAATTTGGACGAGAATTATTTTCGAGAATTTGAAATCCCAAAGTTATCGATCAGAGATGACACTTTTGTTGTCAAAATTTTGCAATAGTACTCTGGATTAACCCTTATTGGATGCTAGCTTTTTATACGTAATTCTCACCAGGTTGTAGTTGGTTTAGGTAAATATGCGAAAGATTTCCGTCTTGTCTTGGACAAAGTACCATTGTCACGTGAGAGGTGACTTACGACCGATAAGGGTTAACAGTCTTTTAACAGTCAATAGTACAATTTTTTAACAGTCTCTGCTTAACAGTGAAAACCGGAAGTTGCATTAAGAATTGAACCACTTCATCCGCAGTAGCCTAAGCATGCTTTCGGTGTCCATTATTATTTCAAGTGCGAGCCTCGGCTAACCGGTGATAGTTGCGTTAAGGGTCGATAAACACGTCGATGAGCCTGGCAGAGGAAAATATCTTCCACGGCCGGAAATTATAGTCGCGGATACCATTTTCTTTTACGGCCGTCGTTAAGCTTTGATTACGGTCCCGCGAAAAGTTTATGAGATACGACGGGCATAACGCGATACTTTGTTCGTGACACAGGCGTTACGCCAAGTCAGGGACTGCTAATGTAAACTGCATGTCTTTAAATTAGGGGAGTATGTTCCGCAAACCGGGCCGTTCCGCTTTATCTCTTCTTCTTCTTCTTCTTCTTCTTCTCCTTCTTCTCTCACCCCTGTCAGCAGAATGAGTTTCCATTAGCAATAAGAATTAACTCGCAGGTCCCGCCACGGCTAATTGCCTTCTTATTTGCGAGCTTCCTCCTTGTTTTACCTATCGCTTCCTCCATTACCTTACGGAACGTTTCCATTGCTCGAAACTTTTTTCCATGGCTGGCCGATTTAATCGTTCGCCGGAGGGCGCGGCGGCCTGGGGTGGAGGCGAAGGGTGGATGTAACCGGTCCTACAGCCAGCTCCGAGAATGACCGAGCGAAAGATGTAATCGGTGACGAGAGTTGCCCGACGCGGGCGTTTCGAAAGCGTTCTCCGTCCGAAAGTCGGACGATTTAATCGTCGAATGGAAGTTTCTTACGCAACGACGTATCCCGGCGAAGTTCGGTTAACTCGATGGAAGAAATTTTCCACGGGAAAGGATGTCACGTGTCGCGCACCGAGATATGTTCGGCCTGAACAATTTAATCATCCGCGGAGGAAGCTGTTTTTGTAGCTGTTCCGGTCTTCTCGGAAAAGTTTCGTCATTTCGAGTATACTTTGCCTTAGCGTTACGAAATTGCCGGAGAAATTTCCGTGGCAATTTCTGCCATCTATTCGAGACATGTCTTTGACTTATCACGCGGACTTGAGCATCAACGAAATTTTCAAAGCCGGGGGGGGGGGGGGGGTGGTTTTTTGTTTGAAAGGGGGAA